ATGATTCGGATTGGATGAATGGATCAATATTCTCTCTTGCAAAGCTGAATGTGTAACACTCACACAGTAAGTCAGCAGATTATTGTGGGAGTAGAATTCAAAAAATGAAAAGAATAAAGCCAACCAACACCCAGAGAAAGGGCAACGATCAGAGGCCATGGGACAATAAAAGCCAAGAGTAGTCAGAAACCATGAATGGCACGAGCTAAGGAAGACAATGGAGAGAAGTCAGTTCATCGCTCGGTAGCAGGGACAGCAGCTTCAGAGAGTGGCTGAGTCACCAGAATGGTATAGGACCGCAGTCGGGATGCACACAGCACAATGGCAGGAACTGGTAACATCCCACGTGATCTTCCAGATTCATTCCAGTGGGGAAGGGGAGACCGGCTGTAAGTCAGACCTTTGTCTTCTTCACTTTAAAGCCCCATTACTTATGACTCGCTAGCATGTCATTTTGGCACGGGATCTGAAAGAGCCTGTCATTGCAGTCACTGTGATTCATTGGAAACTCAGAAGTGAGTCTCGTTCTTTTTTCTGATAATGCAAGTACAGTGGATGGAAATCACTGTTCTCAGATACAGATGTATAAAAAAACCTTCTACATCAAGATACTTCCTGATTCTGGGCACCTCTGTCCCCCGATTCTACCACGCATATGGAAATTCAACTTCATTCATTCTTTAAGCTTGATCCCAATCTTTCCAGGGTTGTTGATGGCTCTGCAATCTTATACAGGGCCAGGGCATCAGGGAAGTCACAGAAAGGGCCACTGGTCATTGGTCCTCTCTTCGTAGCCCTGGCCATGCTCTGTCTGCGTCGTCCCTTTGGGTCCAGCAGCGCCTCCCACCAGGTCTGCGGCACAGACGTTTTTTGCCAAGGTTGAGAGTGCCATGCTCAGGGTCCCATGCGCCCTGCAGCCATTCCTTTCTGGGGTCTTCCTCGCTCCCTCCCTGGCAATACCACCCAAAAGCACGATCTGGGTCCCCAGTCCAAAACCCAGCTTCCTCTGGCCCTCACTGAGCCTGCACAGTATTTTTTTCTAAACTGCGCGGTTGTTTCACTTCAACTTTTACAAGTCGTTTTATCTCTACCTATAATCTCTCCTCTACTGAGGCTTAGCCTTTTAAAATAAAAGCCAGACAGTTTTCCAAGCAACTTCAATGGCCCTCCTTACTACAGCCTATACCTTGCGGGAAGAAAGCACAGACCCTACTACCTACTTATATGAGAAGAAAGGAAAGGGAAAAATAGAGGAATATAAAATTTAAATATTTTTAAATATCTTTCATTCTCATTTGTTTTCTTTTTGTCTTAGACGCTTCAAAGCTCAGATTCAAATTTCATGCTTGGTACCCACAGAGTTAGAATATTTACTAGTTTATGTTTCTTAAATTTTGAATTGTGATTCAGTCTCATTTTACTAACTTTATTACTAATGCCTTGTAAACAAGTGTTCTCCTACTTATTAAAACTGATATTGATTCTTTTAAAGATGATATAATTCATTGCAGCAATTGATATTGATTGATTGATATCAGTCAAACTGATATTGATTTTTTAGAAACTGATACAATTCATCTAGAGTTTGGTAGGTTATAGGAGTGGAGACCTACTCAAGCTATGAGGACTCAAGGAGACAGACATGACTTGTGAATTGGACGTTCCTCCATGGTGTCCTACAGGTCTAGTAACTGCGTCAGCTTCCAATGACTCCACAGTGTGCCCCACCACAATGGAGACTCAACTATTCTGTGTCTGATTGTCTTGCTCTGGATACCACCACTAAGCTGACCCTCTGTTTTGCTCAGCATCATGGTATGTATTTTAGTTTCTTTCTTCTTGTCTTTCTCTGCTTGTCGGCTTCTACCAATTACCTTTCCTCAATCTTTGTCTTTCAGTTTTCGCCTTCACTACTAGTTGAACACCTTCGAAATAAAGAGGATATTCATCAGTCTAATTAGCCACAATTATCCCCACTGGACAGAGATTTCATGATAAGTCAACTCATAGGTTATTGACTGAATGATGAGTTGGCTCTTCTTGGATCAGATAACTGCCCTTGTTCATGTTAATCGTGGCTGAGGTGACAGGGGCATTTTACACAAGAAGAGAACTGCAGGCAGAAGTAATGCTCTAGAAGAGGACTACAGGGAAGAACCTCCTAGAAGGGGCTGTGAGCAGACAGCTATGTTAAGGCTTAGCTTGCTCAGTATTGCCGTTAAAAGTCCAGTAAATAGGGCAACTATTGCTCTTGGAGTAGTATAAATATATCCTTTCCCTTTGGGGATAAAATCCTACTCCAACTCACACAGACGTGGTTTGGCCCTATGACTCCCATGACCAAGTCCAAACTGGTACATCTTCCAAAGTCTGGGTTATTTAGTCTTAAGTAAGAACTTATACAACACTGTAACCTGTGACCACCAAATGAGATTACACTTTCTATTTGTATCTAAATTATTATGATGCAAGTTCCCAAGTGGCCCCCTAAATACAGTTTCTAATGACGACTTCTGATCTCTGTATTATTTTACATACCCATTTGCCCAGCTTGTGCTAGATTGTGGATGCAAATAAGGTCACGCTAAGTGCAATAACTAGTCCTGGCTCATGGCATCACCTGCATAAGGCAGGACTTCAGTCCCCTTCCGAAGTCTCAGTTTCTGGAGGCATTTTAGGCATTGTCAGTGAGTGTCTTATACATGTTCACAAAAACACTCTGAGTCAGCAACCACCCACCAGGCACCACGTTAGCTCACTGGAGCTGTAGTTCTTCCAGCAGCGCTATGTTTCCCTGGAGGATCTGGTCCTGCTCTGTTGGCCTGGTAATTTATGCGGGGTTCTGCTGATGTTCAGGGAGGCCTCTCGAAAGTTCCCTACAGACGTCGCCAGGACTGATCCCAGCTTCTGTCTCTGCTCTGCCAGGTGTGGCAGTTCCTACTGTCTCAGCCACTGCTCTGCCTGCCAGTTTCTCTTCAATTCCATCTCTCACCAAGCACCACAACAAAGACCCTGAAGGAGGGATGCTTCTCTTCCTCTTGAATTCAATTCTGCAAGGAGGAATCCAAAGCCATGGGGTCAGTGGTTTACAGCTTTGAGTCAAACAGCACTTTCGATGTTTACTTATAGCCCACACTCTCCGTAGGTCCCAGATAGATGCCCACTCGGGGGACTCTAAATGAGAAAGAGCTGAATGACAGCCACCAGGGTGACCGCAGAGTGCCATTCTCCTCCTAGGAAGGCTCTCTTACAAACTAACTTCACTGTTTCCAATTTGGTCTTCTGTAAGGTGATTTCTGCCAGGAGGGAATTTTGTCCTCATGCAAATGGCTCCTACTGGGCCCACACTACCGGTTTGCCAGACATCCCTGCTTGCTAACTTCAAATTGGGATTCTCTGCTCTGCTGAGATATTGTTTTCTATGTTGTTCTTTCCCATGTCTACCTGGCAGATTTGAAGATCTTCAGTAAAGCTGCACAAATACATACGCTGTTTACATCACCAAAGGAGAACCGAGGTGCCCCTGCAGACATTAGCAAGTGATAACACAGTGACAAAAAATATTGCAGTGATGAGCAAAACAAATGCCCCTTCTATGTGTTGGAGCCAACTGCTTAGTCTAATATGCGTAATTCATTATACACTTGCCAGTTTCCAGAAACTGTGCGGAAATTATTTCACAAATAATAAGTCATTGAAATTCAGAAGAATAATTTAGAAAGCTGTCAGTATTTCCCAGGAACAAAGAAAATAAAGAATGAATCTGTCAGGATCACCTGTGGAAAGTGACTAAATTAGATTTGCTTAGAGCAAATTATTTATCCAAATTAAATGGGAAAAGGGAAGTTTTGAACATGTTTTGTTGAGAAATATCAAAAGTATTTATTGGGAATTCAAGAACAATTTATTATGAAATAAGGGAAAGTTAACTTCAAATCTGATTATATCACTAATATAATTGATTAAACTGTTTTATTTTGTACTGAATTTACATATTCCTTCAGTTTCTGGAATACCTGTTTGTTATTTGCTTTTTAATGTCTATGCCATTCTCAGAAGAGCATTTTTCTCATAGAATGTATTCCAAATGATACGATAAGACAAGGAGCAAATGAATGATTGACATGTATAAAAGAAAGAACGTGTCTCTTAAATATTAACATTTAAGCTGGTGTTCTAGAAGCAGCATGGGGAAAGTGGCTAGGAGCACAGCCCAGAAGCAGACACGTTGGTTCGTGCTCTGACTCTGTGTGTTAGCAGTGTGAACCTGTACATTACACTTAACATCTCTGCCTCAGTTTCCTCCTCTGAAAGTGGGGATAATAACAGCGCCTTATCTCATAGGATTGTGGTGGCGATTAGGTGAGATTCACATGTATATCTTTACAATATTGCCTGACATGTAGTAAGGCGTAAGCGATTATTATTATGATGCCTTTAACTTCTATAGGAATACTTTTCATTGTAAGTAAAAAAACAGTTAAAGGATTTTGAACTTTCAACATTATCTATCATTAACTTGTTTTACATAAGCCAAAGACTAAAGTTTAAGAAATTTTCAAGATAGAAAATGTTATGCATGCCGAAGAGAAAAATGTGCCCAGGAGATGTGAACACGAAGTAAGAGAATTCTGACGTTTGGGGGACATCCTCGTGGCAGGAGACAGTGCTGACGGGCAAGGCAAAAAGCAGAGGTGAGAGATGCCAAACCACAAAGGGGCTAGAGAAAACCAAAAACCAAACCAAAAAAGACAAAAAATATTACCAGCAGACATATCACAGGTCTGCTCATCACATGAACACGATCTTAATAGAAGATTTCGACTCAGTCTTTTGGAGACTCTTTTTCTTACAGAATGATTCATTCCACTGCATAAGTGGACAGTGTAAACAGACATTCCCTGGTGCCCCATGTCGTGTCCCGTGGGCCTGTCCCTGGTCTCTACTACAGATCTGGGACACAGGTACCTGCAAGGCAGGACTTGGACTGAGAGTCTCACCTGCAGCTCATCTTGTGCGTGCTTTTCTGCTCCTGCTTCTGCGTCTTGCCTGCAGGTACAGGCGCTTGCTCTGGCTGCCAGCGCTCAGCTGTCGCCACTCTGAGGAGCTTCCCACGGGCTTGCTGCTGTCCGTCGCCACTTAGCGTCATCCCTGTGCTGTTGTGTTCCTTGTGGAAACGTTCAGAAGAAAATAAAACCTTTCTGGCTGGGCGCAGTGGCTCACACGTGTAATCCTACTACTCTGAGAGGCCGAGGAGGTGGGAGGATCGCTTGAGCTGAGGAGTTCGAGACCGGCCTGAGCAAGAGTGAGACCCTCGTCTCTACTAAAAATAGAAAAAATTAGCAAGGTGTGGTGGCACGTGCCTGTAGTCCGAGCTACTCGGGAGGCTGAGGAAGGAGGATTGCTTGAGCCCAGGAGTCTGAGGTTGCTGTGAGCTAGGCTAATGCCACTGCACTCTAGCCTGGGCAACAGAGCAAGACTCTGTCTCAAAAAAAAACACGTCTTACAAGCTTTAACTTATGTAATCCTAACAATAGTCTCATTTTACAAATAAGGAAACTGAGCTCAGAAAAGTTAAAAACCCAAAGGCCACACAGCTAGCAAGCAACTGACAGAACTAAGCATTCTGGTTGCAGAAGCTAGATTCATACATATTGCATGTCACAGTGTGGTATAGTTATTATGAATAAGAGAATGTACCTATCTCTAACATGGGACAGTTTACAGTTCCCAGGTAAAGAAAGAGTGGGCAGTCAAGGAGAATTCACCGACAATATTTTTTGGGTAAAAACCAGATTTTGATATAACTGCTCAGAGACGAACTATGGGAAAAAGTCTACAGTAATAAATAAATATACAAACTAAGAGAAAGATAAGATCATGGTACAATTGGATAATAGTTCAGAAAAAAATAAAGTTAGATTCTTATCTAACACATTATACCAAAAACAAAAATTCTAAATAATCCAAAGATTTAAGCTCAAAATATAAAAACATAAAACCACATGAAGAAGAGATTTCTTTAAAACAACACACTGTTAGAGTAGGATAAAGCTTCCTAGTATAAAATGAACCTGGAATTCATTAAAAAATCGGACTGATAAAATGAATCACAGAAAAAAATCTTAATTTTTTAAAATTGTATTTCTTGTTATTTTGGTTTTTAAAAAATTTTTTGTGTCTGGGCTGATTCATCTACCAAAAATTTAAAAATTCTTCAACAGGAAAGCTGGCTGGGCGTGGTGGCTCACGCTTGTAACCCTAGCACTCTGGGAGGCTGAGGCGGGAGGATCACTTGAGCTGAGGAGTTTGAGACCAGCCTGAGCAAGAGTGAGACTCCATCTCTACCAAAAATAGAAAAAATTAGCTGAGCATGGTGATGTGCACCTGTAGTCCCAGCTACTTGGGAGGTTGAGGCAGGAGGATCACTTGAGCCCAGGAGTTTGGGGTTGCAGTTAGCTATGATGATGCCACTGCACTCCAGCCAGGGCAACAGAATAAGACTCTGTCCCCCTCGCCCAGAAAAAAAACCTTTCTCTGAAAGCTAATCAATCATCCTGTAGTTAGGTTTGATTTTCTCTCAGTGCCAGGGTGGACCTGTCCTGGATTGTTGGTCTGGTCTCATGTCAGAGGGAGTAATTGTTGACAAGAAGTCAGAGTCAGTGTCAAAATCCTTTAGTCACAATTGAGCAACAAGGAAGGTTTGGAAGGAGTGACTTCCAGGCTATTGTTAAGTTCAATTTTGTCTGTTCTGGAGCTGTTATCTGTCATCTCAAAGAGCTGGGCCAGTATTATTCTGTTAGGAGTTGTATTTACGTAGAAATTTGACACGCAACAGTTACAAAGTTTAAAAAGGAAAATACAAAGTAAAATTTATAGTAATTTGATAATCCAAGTTTGCATATTTTTTTAAAGCCATGAAGGTAGGCGTAAAGGCAACCAATTGAATAAATCAAATGACCATGGGAAAATGGGTAAAGCCTGTTGTAAACATGTGGTCTGTTTTCTTATTTTGTGTTTTTGGGTCTCAACTTCCCCAGAGGAATTTATCCAGATACAGTATGTAGTATTGAGTGATGTCACATACATCTCTCTGTTTAGCTAGTAGGTAGTATCCTATGATTTAGCATTCCATGTCTGGGTTGAATTAAAGCAGAGAGAGCTAACTGCATAAAAACAAAGAGCATTGGTACAATTTAAACAAAAAATTATGTTGAGGATATTGCCAAAGTTACTCATTAGGTGGACTAAAGGATTTCTTAGGTCAGGTTCTGTCAAATTATATGCAGTAGCTACTAATTGTGAAATTTCAATTACACCATTATCCTGTCAAAGAAAAAATGTAGGCATATGAAAAGAAAAAATTAAGAGAGGTAAGAGTCTCATTATGGTGGGGAGTTCTGTTCCATAGTCTTGGGGAAAACCATCTACAATATGAAACTGTCAACTTCTCTTCCTGGTCTGCAGTCTGAACGTCTCTGTCATGGCATTGGGTGGTCCAGTGAACTTTTGTTATGGCCTTTACATTAGGCGAGACATCTTCTTCTTCTTGAGATCTTCTTCTTGCCTAAATTTAGAACTTTGATACTGGGGAAGCCTATCAGAGATTCCAAAAGGTTTAAAACACTTGATCATGCCTTAAAATTTATTCAGTTTCAGATTATAGGGCCTCAGGAACAGGGCAGTTCTTGTTCTTAGTTGGAGAGCTGTAGCCAGATACTGGAAGGAA